TATATATGTGTTCACATCCTATGTGGGGAGCGGCAGTGTAGTGGTTAGCGTGCTGCTCTATGGACCCCGGCAACCCGGATTCGATTCCCGCTCACGGCCCACACCGGTGACGGATATCTGAACCGGTCCTGGGCCTCCCCTAGGTCGGCTCCGCCTCAAATGAGTACCTGGAGCGGTGTGTAAACATGGCCACTGGTGAGACAAAGGCGGTCGGGTGTGGTGCAGGTGACCAACTCTCTCCTGTATCGTTCTGGCCTTCATGGGTGCTCGCTTAACGACACTTGCCCCAACAGTCTCTTAAAGGCTATACGGGGGACCTTGATCTTTGTTTGGTTATATATACGCGCTTTTGTGTGTTTGCAGATTGTTGCGAGCTGCAGTTTGCTTGTATGACGCTACTCTACAGGAGTGAATTCATGGTTGCGCCAAAGCTTGTTGCTACTCAATGCCGACAAGACCGAAGCCATCTTCATCAGCCCCCCTCTGCATTTTGCTAAAATTGGTTCGCCTTTGTTGATTGATGGTCACGATGTCTGTCCCACACGGGAGGTCAGAAACCCTGGTGCTCAGTTTGACCAGTCAGTATCCTTTGAGGCACCATATATCTAAGGTGGCTAAGAAATATTGCCAGAATGCGTCGCTTCCTGTCACCTGCTGACTTGGAGAGACCGGTCCATGCTTTTGTGTTGTCCCGACTCGACTACTGCAACGCCTCACTGGCTGGGATACCGAGCAGAGTACTGGGCAGACTCCAGCTTTTTTTATTGTTTTATATTTATGTATTATTTCCCTTCTACGTGACTTTACCGAAAGAACCAAGAATGAGAATCCCTGCAGTCACGAAAGCTTTAAATCAAAATGAAAAGACTCCAGCTTGTTCAGAATGCAGCTGCCCGAGTGCTTACACCACGTGCACCGTTCCGTGAGTACATTACACCGGTCCTCTTATCCCCTCATTGGCTACCAGTCAAATTCCGAGTGGATGTTAAGATGCTGCTATTCACCTATGAAGCTTTGAAAGGGCTCACCCCACATTACTTGCAGGAACTAACGCATTTATATATTCCATCAATGGCCCTTAACATCTTCTGATCTCCAACTGCTCAGCACTCCCAGGTCTACAGGTTGCGCTCTTTTGGTGATCGCCGCTTTTGTTATCGTGGCACCCAAGCTGTGGAACGCCTCGCCACTTGAAGTCAGGGCAGAGTTGGTAGATATATTCACGTCTGCTTGGAAAACCCATCTCTGTCAAGTGGCCTCCCCCCTTTAGTTTGGTCGGTTGCCCCTCGGTTCTGTTCTTGTTTCCTGATTTTCATGCGTTGCGCATTGGGATCCTATCATGGAACGCCGCATTATACATTAGAATTATTATTATTCTCCTACTATACGAACACCACTGCTTGCCAATGCTATTAGCATGGGATTTTCCAACCGATTGCCGACGTGTACATTCCCCGGTGTGTGAGAGCACAGCTTTAGCCCCCCCTCGTGGTGAATGTCTCCCTGAACCCGCCAGCGACGTGACCCGGCGTGACACCGCCGCCTGGTAAGGCGGGCAGGGTCAGAGAAGAATGAATGGCAAGGGTTTGTTGAGTGACCAGGCCTGAATTAGCGATTGTGTGAGTGTGCTGAGAGGGGAGCGGTTCGCGCGCGATGCTACGACTCGAGTTCGATTCCCGCTCACGGCCAACACCGGTGACGATTTTCTGAGCCGGTCTTGGACCTCCCCTAGGTCGACTCGGCCTCAAATTAGTACCTGGCGCGGTGTATAGTAAACTGGCGAGACTAAGGCGGTCGGACGTGGTGCTGGCCACTCACCCCCTCGTGTGCCGTGCCGGCCTTCATAGCTGCTTGCTCACAGCACTTGCCCCAACAGTTTGACGCCATACGGGGGACATTTGTCTTTGTGTGCGGATTAGCGCATTGCGCTATGAACCCAGCGACCCGAGTTCGATTCCCGCTCACGACCAACAATGGGTGATGAATGTTTGAACCGGCCCTGGACTGTCTCTAGGTCGACTCAGCTTCAAATGAGTACCTGTTGCAGTGTTTAAAAATCAATATTGGGGAGACAAAGGCGGTCGGGTGTGGTGTTGACAACCCCACCCCCAATGCCGGCCTCCATAGGTGCTCACCAACAGCACTTGCCCCAACCGTCTTTGAAAGGCTGTACGGGGCATCTTTGTCTCTGTTGTGTCGTATCTCTTTAACCGCATGGCCGATTGGTGGTGACAATGTTGGAGTTGGCACTGCATTAATTATGACATAACATCGGATAATTAGAGGATTTAATTGCACTCAAAAGCTAGATAGCGAGGCAGCCACTGATCCGGAGAATAACTGTGATTTGTGAACCTCATAACACAAGGTGGGGGTGGGGGTGGGACCCCACTCCTTCTTTGATGAAATATGCATGGAACTCTGAAATGTTCACACACTCACCCTTCATAGCAGTGGTATCATCTCCAGCCCCAGTGTCAAGAAACGAGGGAAATGGGTCTGCAGAATTGTTTTTTTTTAAAGAGCTAAAGGCACAGCCCCGCAATCGTTTACTCATGCCGCCGCTGGCAGAAGGGGCCCACGTTCGAGATACCTCCTCCTAAGTGGGAATTTGGCCTACTCTTCCATACTGATCAGAGGTCTGGAGCACGCACACTTTACGCCACTCGCCACCGATAGACTGAACTAAAATGAGCATTCTCTGGAAGAACGTAATCAACCAGGTAGGGTGTTGACTGTTATGTTAGCCGACTCTCTGTGTTGTATTGCATTTTATTTCTAAGTATACTAGGTTTGTTGTTTTATTTTAGTTATACCTGATGAGGATTGCTTGTGTCGCAATCGAAACGTCGTATGCTATTATTTAATTTATTATTTTCTCTTTATACGTGACTTTACCGAAAGAACAAAAGAGCAATTCCTGCAGTCGGGAAAGCTCCAAATGAAGTTTAAAATTAAGCTATTTATAACTGACCAGGTAAGACCCACTGAGCTACTCGATAGCTTATTTTTCATTAGCGGCCTGACTATCTCAGATGATAGCTCAACGAAGTGGCACAGCACGTGGACATTTACAGCAGCCAAATACTCTAAACGCGTGTTGATGATAAATGTGGAGGGGAAAACCGGAGGTCCCGGAGGAAAATCCACGCGACTACGTGGAGAGAGAGCGTTCAAACTCCAAATCTACAGGAGCAGGCGTCAGGGTCGGGATTAAACCCGCAACCTCCTGCACACCAGGCGAGGTAGTTAACATCTCGCCACCGCGGCGCCCGGACTTTGGTGTACCCGGTGCTTCATTTCAGCCGCAAACATTCCGGGACGATGTTGTTGCGGGAATTATTTTGGCACCCTGCCATCATCCATCTCTAATGATAATAATGATAGGGGTTTTCCACTTTTATCTGGCAACAAAACTGAAACCTTTTTACGAGGATTCATGTCTGCATTAACCACAATACTTGCAGTCAAAATGCTAACAAAAAACACACTATGATAATATATGCATTGTCCTTGAAACTGATTGGTCCACACCAGGGGACGGCTTTCTTTTGAGCCTCGACCCAATTGGTGCTCGACCAGAGGACGCCAAAAGGTTTCCGTTTTGTTGCCAGAAAAAAAAGGGGAAAAACCCTATTATTATATTTTGGTACTGGCAAAGGAGGTCTAATGATGTAGATGATCATCCATATCACCGCCTTACGAAGCTGTTCGTACAATTATTATAAGAACGTAGGGTACAATAATATCGGCGTACTATGGGTGGGCGTGTATTATAGTCGAGTTGAGGAGTCGGAAACTTGCGGCAACGGAGCCGCGTGCGGCTCTTTAAGGACTGCTCCGTGCCGTCGTTTATTAAGGACCACCACCGTCTCGTATTCACCACGTTGCATTGCGGCTCTTCAAATATTGATGGCTTTTTTTTATTATCGAATTCGAAAAAAATTGCCCTGCTTGTTATTTTGGGTTGCCGACCCCCTGGACGAGTGGCAGTGACTTGCTTTTGACAGTTCGCTAAAACTACAAGCGAGCCGAGCGGCAGTCTGGACAATATTGGGTGAGAAATTAAGCCCTGAGTTTACTCACCCATACTGTTGGGTGGACAGAGGCGGCGGTAGGTGGGTTTAAGAAATTTGTGCCGTTGATAAACTGCTGCACCAGGGGATGGAATCGAACCGCCGCACTGCGGATCGCAAGTCCACTGTGCGAACCAATACACCGCGGCGGAGAGAATATTCGTCCAAAAATATAAAGAGGATGTAAAAAAGGTGTCAGTTTTGTTGCCAGATAAAAGGGTAAAAAACCAATTATCATATTTTGCTACTGGCAAAGGAGGTTCCAATGGTGTAAATGCTTACTCCGAGCTCTTATACTCTGATGGTGCATTGTCTTTGAGTTGTGCGCCTTTTGGCGTCATCTGGTCCAACCCATGTGAGACTAGGCTCTAAGGAAAGCTGTCTTGGGTGTGGACCAATCAACTTCAAGGACAGTGCATATATTATCAGAGTTGTGTGTTTTTTGCATTCCGACTGCAGGTATTGTGGTCAATGCAAGCATGACTCCTTGTAAAAAAAGGTGTCAGTTTTGTTGCCAGATAAAAGGGTAAAAAAGCAATTATCAGGATGCACATGTGAAGGTGTACTGTTGGATGAGGACATCCCCTACGCGCGCGGGTCGTGGCGGTTATTGGACCTTAATTCACCCTACGCTCGTCCGTGCGGATTCGTGAAGGCAGGGACCCATAGATGTGGTTGCGTAGTACAGTACAACAACAAAAAATGTATCTCTCTCTCTCCCTAACATGCCCTCTGCTGCCCACAGTTATGTGTGTGAGGTTTTAAAAGAAGGGAGTAATAAAGTAATAAAGTCACCATACTGATCCTACATTGCGCGCGGATCTCCGAGCCAAAGCTACAAACCAAGGCACGAATTGACGCTCGCGCGGCTGGGCCAACGTTCTCCCCAACAGCAGCAGCAGCAGTGGAGGAGGAGCAGGCGAGTAGAGTGAGTGCTTTATTAAAGTTCACAGTCAAATCTCTTGGTCAATGTACACGCTCGGTTGTCGTCACGATAGCGCAGCGGTTCTTGTTTGTTTTTTGCATAGTTTCGTCATCGTTATAATCATCATCATTATTCTCGTTACATGAAGACCACAAAAGCTTTCATTTGAACCAGGGCTCGAAGTGTAGGCCTTTCACCACCGCCCACCCGCCCCCTGCCACCCCCTTAAAAAAAAACGAATTCCCCGGTCCTTTTGCGAATGTCGTCGGCATGGCGTGCTCGTCCCGAGAACGAGGAGACGTTGATTTAGTTTTTTTTTGTTTTAAAGGGGAGAGGGCGATCCGTGACCCGCGCCAACCACCGCCTACCCTTCGTGAACCCCGGCAATCAAAACCCTCGAGCCCCCCCCACCACCAACCCCCTCTCCCGCCCGCCCGTCTCCCGACCGCGTGGCGCAGCGTCGTCGTCCCCGCGTTTGTCACGTCATTCAACGTCCCCCTCCCTCCCTTCTCGCCACGCACCGGGCAGCTCCCCTTGGGGAACTGAGCAAGAGAAGCTCCCCGCTGCGCGCGAGACGCCCCGACCCGTTCCCTGTGGGTCGCAGCCACCCGCGTTAGCGACGTTACGCTTCGACGGTAGAATAATTCCGACGCGCGCGGTTGGGTTACGCGCGCGGGTTGGGTTACGGGCGAAATAAAGTTGCTTTGTTCGGTGAGTTGCTTGGCTTCGAACGGCTGTCGCGCACCACCCCCGACCGCCGGCCCATCGTCGTCGGTCACTTTTAACTCTTGGCCTCGACGGACGCGGCCGTCACCGCGGCCGGCGCCGCCTCCACGACGAGCACGTCTCCCTCGGCGGTGGCCGCTCCCTCGCCCTCGCCGTCCTTCAGGGAGCGCCGGTAGCTGCACGGAGAGGAGACGGGTTAGAGGAGGGAGAAGGGGGAGTAGGAGGAGGAGGGGGGGGAGAAGGGGGAGGGAGGAGGGGGAGTAGGAGGAGAAGGAGGAGGAGAAGGGGGAGGAGGGAAGAGAAAGAGGAGGAGGAATGGGGAGAAGGAGGAGAAGGAAGAGGGCGGTGGAGGAGGAGGAGAAGGGGGAGGAAGTAGGAGGAGAAGGGGGAGGAAGTAGGAGGAGAAGGAAGAGGAGTGAGAGAAGGGGGAGGAGGTAGGAGAAAGAGGAGGAGGAGGAGGAGGGAGGAGGTGGATGAGGAGAAGGAGGAGGAGGTGGATGGAGGAGGATCACGCACACGCACGGATTCTACCGCGGCGCTCTCGAACGAGAGAATTTAACGGCGGATGCTCGGGGAGGCCTTCGTCTCAGCCAGCAGTGGATTGATCATGGCCGATGACGGTGGTGGTGCCACGGGGCAGTGCACTGCGCTGTCAACCTGGTGACCTGAGTTCGATTCCAGGCCACGTCCACCATCAGTGGCGAGCAATAACGACGCCGGTTGTACCCCCCCCCCCTGTCACACCCACCCCACCCAGTTCACTTCACCAATCCACACTGACCAGTGTGGTGAAGTATGGTCAGACAACCGCCATGAAGAGGTGGCTTGGAGAGGTCGTCATCCAGCAGTGGAATCGAATATATATTGAAAATATGTGATTCTGCATTGGCAGCGGTGCATAAACAGAGGAAATAAATATATGGGCATATATTTACAAACAAGGATAAGTACATACATGTGTTGCATGAACGTGTTTTAATTTAGGGGGCAGTGCTTTTCACAAATGTGTTGATTTTTGTTATTCGTGCAAATAGATATATTTTACCTAGCCCAGGGCAACATAATGTTTTTAATTTTAAAAAATTAATTGTAGCAAAAAAAAAATAACCAGCTCGGCATTTAAACTGAATGCATTATGCATGAGCAATAATACACATTTTTGGAATAATTCGAGCTAAGTGGGGCTTGGGAATGAGATATTTGTTCTGCCGAGTGGCGCGAGGCAGGGCGGAGGTGCAGATTCGTTTCTCTCGCGCGCCTCTTCGTGCCCTACCCTCTCGGCTCTTCTGAAAGAATATTTTTGGTCGGCTATACACAAGGGTCTCGATGCGCGTGTGTGCGTGTATTCACGTGTACGGTGTGAAAACATCGCCACTGGGGAGACAAAGGCGGTCGGGCGTGGTGCTGGCCACCCACTCGCTCGTGTACCGTTCCGGCCTTCATAGGTGCTCGCTAACAGCACTTGCCCCTACAGTCTGTTAAGGCTATACGGGGGATCTTTGTGTGTGTAAAGTGTTTGTGTGTGGGGAGCGGTAGTGCAGTGGTTAGTGCGCTGCGCTACGAACCCGGTAACCCGGGTTCGATTTGCGCTCACGGCCAACACCGGTGATGATTATCTGAACTGGTCCTGGGCCTCCCCTCGGTCGACTCAGCCTCAAATGAGTATCTGGTGCGGTGTGTAGATATCGCCATTATGTAGACACCGCACCAGGTACTCATTTGAGGCTGAGTCGCCCTAGTGGAGGCCCGGGACCGGTTCAGATAATCGTCACTGTTATTGGCCGTGAGCGGGAATCGAACCCGTGTCGCCAGGTTCGTAGCGCAGCGCACTAACCACTGCACTACCGCTCCCCACACACAAACACTTCACACACACACACGGACACACGAGTGTGCACACATGAAGTGCCCTCCACACTGGCCCACGCAAAGCCCGGGGTGAACTTGAGCAACAGTAGCCGCATTAAAGGGCAGCGCAACGCTTTGCAGCAGTGACCCATGGCAGTGCTTGGATCGCAACGTTGCCACGAGATCACTGATGGAGGTCACACGCTCTGACTCGGTTCACCGCCAGGTCGGACGTGAGGTCAACTTAATTGTTGCGTATACAATCGCAGGTGAGCCAATTGGCTCGGAGACCACAGCGTCGAGCCAGACCGCTGAGATCGTGAGTTCGAATCCGGGGGTTTCAGCCAATGCCTGTGATCAAACTGAGGTTTGAAATGCAGTGAAGTTTGATAGTCTGAGCACGGTCACCAAGAAATGCTAAGAAAAAAAACGATGACATTTAGCTTCAGTTCTGCGTTTAATTTGGCCAAATTCCATCTCTGATAATTAAATTAGCGGTGTGATCGTCACGCGACCAATATTACTCTGGTTGTACAGCAGAGCGGATGGAAAAATCATGCTTCCCCCCCCCCCGCTCCCCCCTACTGTAAGGACCACAGACCACTCAAAGCAGCGAGCTCAGAGGTAGCTCTGTTATGTCCGCTTCCGCGAACCATTCTCTAGAAGATACGTCTCAAGGACAAGCGTAGGGGCCATCTCCGCTGGTTTCAAGCGAAGTGGTGGGCCACGTGCAGCTCACAGGGTAAATCCTAATAAATTAATACTCTTAGTTCTTTCGGTGAAGTCACATAGGTAAAAAATTAAATTAAAATTAATAAAACATTTTTTTAAAACACAAGACGGAAGCTTGTGTTGCCTCCGAAACGTCGTGATTTTATTGTTTTTATTTTTTATTAATTTTAATTTAATTTTTACCTACGTGACTTTACCGAAAGAACTAAGAGTATGAATCCTTGCAGTCACGAAAGCTTCAAATCTAGAACTAATAAATTAAACTCAAACCGTCTGCCGTAGATTCCCCCAGGCCCCGGTGTAGGCGGGCTCTGTTGGAGTGGAACCTACTTGAAGATGCGGATCAGCTGGCCAGTTCCACAGCAGCCCAGGAAGAAGTTGACGCAGAACATGTTGATGTTCTTGGGGATGATCACGAAAGAGTACCGTGACCACAGGAACCCTGCACATGCACAAAGGAACCATCGCGTCACTATTGGTACGAACGTAGCAGGAAGGGCCTGGGTTCGATTCCCGACTCGGGCGGCTTCGTGTGGTGTACCGAGTTTGCGTGTTCTACCCCCTGTTCCGAGTGGGTCTCCACCGGGTTCTTGTGTTTCCTCCCATAGATGATAATAATAACAAACTTGGACTGTTGTAACTGGTGTTGGCTAAAGCATACCCAATGCTGAAACATTACTTGCAAAATTACCCGATTGGGATTACCCCCCTCCCCGCCCCCGCCTACTGCGAAAGCTTGGCTGCCCCCACCTGAAACATTTTCTTGAGACTCAATGAGTCTTTCCCGGGGTGAACAAGCTTAGTCAAATAATAACGAAATAATAATTAAATAAAATGGGGGCTTGGGTAGAGAACTCGTGGCTGGAAGGAACGGCGGAGTGGCGGCCGAGGGATGGAGACGCTTCCACAGAGGACGTCAACTCGACAGGACACTTTCTTTCTTTATATTTATTCAGCTCACGTTTCTCCAACCGTGCGAACGCTTTTGTCATCAACCAGCGCATTGCTCTCCCGATCAACGCGCTGCGCGCGACCACATTTTCCGCGTCGTTTTTTTTGCTGTTTGTTAAATATTTCCAAGCACGCGCGGCACACGCGTGCGCGTTTTTGTTGTTGCTGCGATGCTTTCAACAGTTGCCTTGCCATTGTGTCTCGACGTTTCTGGACCGCGTAAGGACGGCGCGCATAGCCCCGCAGATCCCGCCAACGTTTAGCCAAACGCGACGGCACCTCCGATTGGCAATGGTTGGCTACGCGCGGTGCGAAAGAAGTTCAACGTGCGTGGAGTAGCGGCCGGTGCACGGGGGGGGCAGCTTTGGTGAAGAGCCGGTGTTTGGCTGCGTGCAATGAACAGCTCAAGTGAACTCTGGCCACCGCGTTTTCCTGTGCGAGTGAGTCTGCGTAAAAGACGCGAAGCGTCTAAATGAAGTCCTGGTCGTCGCTCCCGGAGCTTATCTTCCGATTAGCACGGCTGGCTACGTACGGTGCGAAAGACGTTCAACGTACATACATAGAGGTGGTGGCAGCCTTAGGTGGTGGTGGTGGGGAGGGGGGGTGGTGATGATGATGATGAATATTTGAAGCCAGGATGGGCCTTACCTGAGAGCCCCAGCACTGAGTTCTGGTACAGACTGAGTTTCTCAGCTGGTCGTGCCATGTCCGCCATGCCGGCAAACACCAGCCCCTGGGCAAATGGAGAGAGACAGAGGGGGGCATAGTGACACGGCGTTCTAGCACTGGGACAAGACAGACCACCTCACCACCCACGTGTTCCACGGCGCACCGAAAGAACGAACTGCCATGCTGCTTGAGTACAAAAACAAAGATCCCCCACCGCCTTTAAACGGGGCTGTTGGGGCAAGCGATGTTAGTGGGTGCCTGTGAAGCTGGCAACGGCACACGAGGGGGGGGGGGGGCGGGGGGGTGCCCACATCCCACATCCCACGCCGTTTTGTACGGCTTCTTTGAAATGTAGTTTTGTTTAGACCTCTGAGTGTGAATCCTGATCGTTTGATTGCATCTTTCTGCGGTGTGATTTGAACAACAACAAACAAAATCTCCACCTATGGAATTGCTGTTTTGTTGTGTGTTTAGTTCTGGCAGCTGTAGGGGGGGGGGGTTATAACTGCCAGCGATGAAAATGTAAGAATGCCAAACACATAGCTTGAGTGCTAAATAAAAATACTGATTTGTTGTTGTGTTAACAGTGGTGTACCAAAAACAATTACCAAACAAAAATGCGAACACGTTTGTCAATAACGCCGTGGCCTTATAAAGTCACGTGTATATATATAATAGGTGACGTTTCAGGCAATGTCCCTTCTGCAGAGCATTTAGAGAGACCAGAGAGGTCGAACGGGAGCTAAAGGAGCCTCTCCTGATGAACACTGCGCTGTGGAATGAACCCTTAGCGATACGCTCTCGTCCGCTTCACACAGGGAGTCAATGATCCCGTGATGTCATTCGTAACAAAGTTGGCGTCACGGTCCGAATTATAAATTGTGCTCCCAATTTGACTGAATTGGGTAAAACACCACAGAATTGACACCGCGTCTGGCTGTGCGCCCTCCGTGGTGGCACACGCACAGCATGACTTTCCAAGAGCATCAATGATGTCATTTGATGTTTAGCTACGTTCAGAGATTGTCCACCATGGCATGGTTAAATGGCAATGTGGATCACACCACCCCGCCAGCGTGCGTGAATGTGCGATTCGTGCGGTGCACACACGTACCCATTTCACCGTTGGGCCCCAGAAGAAGACTGTTTTGGGACCTAAAAACACAACATTCACAAGTTTCATTAATTTGGCTTTTTTTTTACTGATTATATAACTGTTAACTGAAAATGTGCACGATTTTACTCATCAAACGACACAAATATTTGCATGTGGATATTAAGTACTTTAATTAGTTACAATATGTACAAGCAACTATAATGTACTGATAAAAAATAAACTTCATTTTGTGATAGCAAGGAGGCCTTCATCCAGCAGTGTATTTATGGTTAATGATGGTGGTGATGGTGATGATTGGTATCAACTATCGAGTGAACGTAAACTTACATTTGATAATACACGGTGTGGGTAAAATATCTTCACATACAAAACCATGAAGAAAAAAACTGTTTGTAAACGGCAAAGAGAATCTTTCCGTTATCTCTTACTGGGAATTGAATTATCGAGCAGCAACCACCCACGTGAGAGAAAAGTATCGGCACAAAACCCTGGCAGGGAAAACGATGTGGGTTGGGCACGTCCTCAGATGTGAACGCTTGACGATAGAAGATCCAGGGATGTTGGGAGAGAGAGAGGGTCCAAGAGGAAGGGAGATGAAGACGCTATCTTCTTAGTTCTTTCGGTAAAGTCACGTCGAAGGGAAATAATAAAAGAATAAAAATAAAACATAATAAAATATTTCTCACGACGTTTCGGCTACAACACAAGCAGCCGTCATTCTTCACCTGAGGACGGCTGCTTGCGTTGTAGTCGAAACGTCGTGAGAACTATTTTATTATGTTTTATTTTTATATTATATTATTTCCCTTCTACGTGACTTTACTGAAAGAACCAAGAAGATGAATCCCTGCAGTCACGAAAGCTTTAAATAGGAAGATGCTACTTTGACGACTTGAAGAAAAGGAGATGGAGGGGGAGGGGCTAACAATTAAATGAGTAATCAAGCTCAAGAGGGAGTTGTGCCAAATATCTGCCATTTGGCAGAGGACTAACGTAAGAAATCTTGAATTAAAGCTTTCGTGACTGCAGGAATTCATATTCTCGTGTATTTCGATAAAGTCACGTAGATAGGTTCAAAGAAAAAAACAAAAACTTTTCTTGAAGACGTGTTGCGATCGAAACGTAGTTCAATCTAGATTTGAAGTTTTCGTGACTGCAGGGTTCTTTCGGTAAAGTCGCGTAGGTATAAAATAAAATAAATTAAATCACGACGTTTCGGGCGCAACACAAGCGTCCGTCATCAGAATGGGACAACCATAGTAATAAACAATTTCTGAAGTGGGCAAAAAAAACTCACTTTCTTCAGCGATTGCCCACTTCAGCAATTGTTTCTTGATGTGGTTGTCCCACCTGATGACGGACGCTTGTGTTGCGCCCGAAACGTCATGATTTAATTTATTTTATCTTATACCTACGTGACTTTACCGAAAGAACCAAAGAGTACGAAACGTAGTTTTTTGTTATTTTTATTATTATCTTTGAACCTATCTACGTGACTTTACCGAAAGACCCAAGAATATACCTAACGTAAGATTTTCTAATATTTCGATTATTGCATCAGAGAACAAACAAACAAAAAAGGACTCAGAAATGTCCTCAATCCAAAAAATGCAGCCTGTCTTGAAAAAACCAACACAATCAAAGATTATCGCCTGGACAAAACTGGCTTTGCTAGAGAACGCCTTCCTGCCTCGCACCAACCGGAACAGCTGATTTAGAACATTTCAATTCCTTCATCGTAAAACAAAGAACAAAAGAAACAACCCCCTCAGGAATGTCTTCAATCCGAAAAATGCACCCCTTGTCCTGAAAAAACCCCCCACAAAAATCTAAATGCTTTTCTCCGGACCAAACTGCCTTTGCTACAGATGTCTTCACGCCTTGCGCGAACCGGAACAGCTGATTTCCTTTCCAGGTAAAACTTGACCCGCCTGACGGCAGGCACTTGCCCGCTCAAACTAGAGTCCGGGTTCAAGGGGGCTCCTGGGGTAAGATTAGAACTTGGCTTTGTTTCAAAAGATTTTTTTTCTTTCCGAATTCCAAAGTTCACGCGCAGCGAACCGCTCTTGCTTCCACCACCCGGACCACGTTGGTGGCAGCCGGCAGCTGAGTAATTGTCACCGCTTAAATTGGCACAAAGGGGGGGGGGGCAGCAGTTAGCTGCTGATGAAATGTCTCGGAGGTCTAATGATTTATGATTTGAAGGGCAAGTGACATTTCCATTGTGCGAATGTTAAAAACGTTAATTTTTCCATTTTAATCGATACATTTTTATTACGCTTTCCTAATAGGACATTTTTTTCTGCAAGAGTCACATTTAGCAGAAATGCCACGCATTGATGTAGTTTTTTTTTGCTTTCTTGCTACGTGATTACGAGAGCTATTCTCGGCCAAATGGGATTTGTTCGTTCTACACGAGCAGCAAATGGGGATATTTTGCACCCCATGTTTTGCAAGATGAGAATCCTCAGCTTTTACTTTTAAACTCCCGCGCCGGGGCAATTTCCTCGCAAATTATCTATTTTCATTCGGGAAATCAAATCCCATTGTAAAACTGACGTTGCTCAATTTCGTTTTCTGCTTTCCTGGAAATGAAATTCACAAAGGAAACGCGTGCGTGCGTGCGTACGTACGTGCGTGTGTGGGTGTGTGAGTCGGTATGTACGTATGGTGTGTGAGTCGGTATGTACGTATGGTGTGTGAGTTGGTGTGTACGTATATGTGCGTGCGTTTCCGATTGCTTGGAGCTTTCGTAGTTGAGCTCCACAGCTCTCCGATTTGTTTTCGGGTCGTGCCGCGTGTAGTTCGGCGTGGCGTCCGTAGTTTTGCTCCGCGCCCCGGGAGACTTTTGCAGGAACTGAGTTACCCGCAGAACTAACTCATTTCCTGAAGAAGCTTCCAGCAGGTCAAGCGAAACGTCGGACATCACGCCGAAGAACCCTCGAAAACGCGTCGGAGAGGACTTATACGCTGCTTGTACGCAATGTCAATTGTAAAATCTGCACGGATAGCAAATTTGTCAGACAACCAAAATGCAAAGTAGCCGTCGAGCAAAAACGGTCACTGCAGCGCGCACTTTGAGATTCTCTTCTGTGACCGCGTGGAACGCTCTTCCTTCCAATATCAGGAAGCCACTGGAGCTGTCCGCTTTTAAATCATCAAGATTGAAAACTAATTTCTTTAGATCTGCGTTTTGTCTTTAGTTGTCCTTCCCCCGCACCTCCAATTCGCACGGTTGGCTACGTCCAATGCCAAAAAGGTTCAACATACATACATTCATACAGAATATGATGACAAGACAGATGACAAGAGTCTGACGGTATTCATGAGAGTCTCATGGATCCCGCTGTACTCATCAAATCCGCGGTTCCCAATTAAAGTGAGCGTTGGCGTTGTCTGTTCTTCCTGAGTTTATTAATCTCTCAACATTTATAAGCTGACGAAATAGTAACGGGATACAAGAGTAAATCATAATTTAAAAAAACAGCATAAATTATTTACTGTCGTGGCAATCCACTGCTGGATGAATGCCACCGCTACGGTGTCAGCCATGGAGGTTACTCGACCATGCTTCACCACGCCCGGTCAACACAGGGCGAGTCTGACCCAGGACCGGATCAGCAATCACTCAGTCACTCGACCGTTCATGTCGCCGCGTTCATAGCACAGCGTGCGAACCACTATGTAAACGTTTTGACAGTAATTAAATTAATCGCAAAAATCTGAAGTCAAGGAATTAATAAATTGCGTAAACTTGTCCGAATATTTGCTGTTGTGGGGCTATGCTTTTTGAACACGCAATTATCTTTGGCAGTTTGAGAGTAGCACATTTAATTAATATCGTGACCACATAGCCCTTGGTTTCACGAAAACATCGCGACCCAATTAGAGATGGTTAATAAAGGAGTTGAGCCGTGGTGGCAGTGGTTGGCACGACTCGCTGTGATCCCGGCGAACCCGAGTTCGATTCCCAACCACGGCTAACATCGGTGGCGAGTGATATCACAACCGGTCCACACCTTCACTAACTCGCACTGACCAGTGTGGTGAAGTATGGTAAATAAAAACCCAGTGACCAACACGACCTTCACGCATTGGTGGATTGAGAATTGTCTAAAATGTTATTAATTATTTATATATATATAATTTACATTTTTTTTTTATTTTGCAGAGCCGGACTTTTAAATTCCTCATGATGGATCTGGACATTGTGCATTTGCTGCGTGACAAATGCACTCTCGTCATTCCATATTAACGAGACATTTACGCAGAACACAGCTCACAGACAATGCAATCATCGTGAGCATGTATCGACGCACGCAACGGGTAGAAAAAAAAACGTAATAATGCAACACTCCACCCTGGTCTATCAGTCAATTCAGATCTTTGAATATTTTACCACCGTCATATTGAACAAGCCATCGAAATTTTTAATACAATATTAACCACCAAAATGTGTGCTCGTGAAATATCTTTTTTGGAGTTACAAGACGGTTTTGGGTTGTTGTTTTTTGCATCACTGTTGCTGAGCACAAAGGTCAAAAGTCAAAAACGCCAAGCAGGTCAGTCATCAAAATCACGATTGAAGGTGTAACAGATCAGAGTTAACGTCAATGATGTCTGTAAATAAATATACATGCGTCTGATGCAATCCCTGAATTGGTGATTGCACTCGTGCTCACAGTGCAATAATTCATGTTTGGCGACGGATCACAGAAGTGGATATGACAGAGCTACCTCTCAAATCTCTTCAAGTGACCTCTGGGTCCACGCAGTATAGAGCAGCACTTCGCTTCGCGCTCCGCCACAGAGAGTAATATTTGTTGCACGACAATCAGACCCATATTTAAATTCTCAGCGCTGGAACTTTGCCAAAGTAAGCACAAAACCAACATTTTTATTACGGCGGGGTTTTTTTATCGAGTGTGTGCCAAGTCATTGGCGTCTGTGCCGAGACCAGCAACTCACTCCCAGCTCGCCCGTGCAACAGAGGCAACGTATCAGGTGTCGACGGGTTTATTATCAACGGTTTAAGTCCATCTCCCGGTTTACGAACGGATCCTGACCCACTGCCGTTGATATCCCCGTTAAACCATAGGCAGTGGCTGAAACCTGGATGGGAATCCTAGAATCTCAGCTGTGTCGAGCTCAACGTCTCTGACCCATGAGCCCCAGCGGCTACCTTGGCGGTTTGGCCATCGTTCTTTTTATTGTTGTGGAGTTTTTACCGACCGACCGCGACCTTACCTGCGGGGTGTCTCCAAATCGGCCGGAATTTCTGCGGCAGGATGAGTTCAATCCTGTCCATGGTCCGATGGAACCCAGCCCGGAACGCCACGACTGCCATGGTGATGGTGGTTGCTTGGTGGTGGTGGTGGCGGTGGCGGTGGTGGTCTCAGGGAGAGTGCTCAGCAACGGGTGATCTTGTCGCGGGGGGTGCCTCTGTGGTGCACTCGCGGCGTCGTTCTGCCCGCTGGCCATTTAATAGCAGGAGGGCGACAGGAAGTGGTGCCACCTCCATGCTGGTGCTTGCGCGCATCGTACGGACCGCACGGGCAGGAGAACGCCTTCTGTGGAAGAAATAAATAAAGTTTGAACAAAACAAAACAACAAAAATCTGAAATCGCCTAGCGGTGGCGAGCGGTCCAATTCGAGGTGGCTCGTTCTTGCCCCGACCGAGTAACATACCGGAGGGTCGACGACAAAAAAATGTGCCAAGCGATGACCTCTCCGGCGCGCGTGTTTCATTCATTCTTTTTTTTTGTGCGCGCGCCTGCGTTTCATCATCGCCGACGCCGTATAGGTGCTCGCTGTTGCACGCAACGCGCGCCGTCTCACCTGTGATCCCGCCGCTGAGGACACCGGCACCGCGTGTGAGTTCATTGGAATCCATACTCTTTGGTTCTTTCGGTAAAGTCACGTAGGTATAAAATGAAATAAATCACGACGTTTCGGGCGCAACACAAGCGTCAACACAGGCGTCCATCATCAGGAAAGCATGCTTTCCCACCTGAATTAATTTTCAAAAAGGAAAATTCGTGCACGCATTGATGTTAACGGAAGTCAATTTGAACATTTGTTAAAATAAATTAAATAAGACTACGTAATTTGTTAAAAAATAAATATAACCCCAATGCGTCATGACTTTTTGGCCACCTTGTATCGTGACTTAAAGCTTTCGTGACTGCAGGAATTCATATTCTTGGGTCTTTCGGTAAAGCCACGTAGATAGACCAAATAATAAAAAATAATAAAAAATAATAACAATATCACGACGTTTCGAACGCAACACAAGCAATCGTCATCAGGTGAGAAATGTCGCGGGAGAGCTGCTGAGAATATCTATTCTTGTGTTGCGATCGAAACGTCGTGATATTGTTACTTTTGTTATTTAGTTTTTATTATTTTTTATTATTTGATCTATCTATGTGGCTTTACCGACCTTTAATGTGTGCATGGTTGGCTACGTATGGTGTGAATGAAGTTCAACATACATTTCGATTTAAAGCTTTCGTGACTGCAGGGATTCATCTTCTCGTCTGAATGACGCTGTCTCCCCGACAGACCTGGTCTTCACCTGAGGACGGCTCCTTGCGTTGTGGCCGAAACGTCGTGAGAATTATTTTATTATGTTTTATTTTTATTATTTTATTACTTCCCTTCTACGTGACTTTACCGAAAGAACCAAGAAGATTCAACATACATGTTGCTGCACTGCCCTCTGCTGACAAACACGTAGGCTCGCAGCAGCCTATAGCAACCTATTTTTATCACCCAACCTAGCACCTATAATCCAGGCTCAAGCCTACTTCGCTTCTATTCTCTGAATAGTTCGGCTGCCTTCTGGATGAGGTTGCTCAAAGGCTTAAAAAAAACGACTGAACGGAAAGTTAATTATAATTTCACGATATGTAAACATTCCATCATTTTAAAAGCCCGGCGTTCCGTTTGTCTGTTTGTCAACAAAATTATAAGAGCCTTTCAGAAGGCGTGAATCAACAAGTTAGACAAAGTGGACCCCCCCATCCCCTCCACACCAGATGTGGGGGTAAAAAAAAGTTGATCCAACAGGTTTACAACAACTGTCGACCCGTCCCACAACATGTTATACCCCCCCCCCCCTCCTCCAAAAATAAATGTATTTTGTTCGGCACATATGCCTACAACACCCTACATACAATAGAGTCAGTAGTATCTGCACACATTGGCGGGGGGGAGGTGAGAGTGGTGGTGGGGAGGGAGAGGACATAAGTGGCGGTGAAATGCCCTCCGCAGGAGTTCGAATTTCCGGCGGCCGTCAGACGTAAGCTGCCGGAATTCTAATCGTATTTACAAAAAAACCGAATGCCAAGATGTCACTTTTACGTTGGAGATGGAGGCAAGAGGATCCAGAGTGAAGGGCACCTGGAAATACGGCGTGGCGGGACAGCCTTCAAGTATTTAGAGTGAACAGGGCTGGAGATTTTGAGAGAGACGGACGAAAGATGAAAAGATGAGGAAGGCACGGGGAGACGTTTGTCTTTGGCGACCGGTCGAGTTTCAGGCAGTTCCTTGGACACGGTGTCCAATGATTGGTGAACGAGATAAAGAGTGGGTGATTGACGTCGGTGATGGATGAGGATGGATCTCTGATAGTGATGGGTCACTGATAACGAATCACTAACTGGGTCAAGGTGATCTCTTTGAATTATCGGTAACCGCTCGAAACAAAAAAAATTCAAATGGTTACAATTATCATGATTATCAAAATGTATTGATAACAGTACGCTATTACATCTAATATCTAGTAGTAACACCACATACACAATAACCATAATAACACACAGCACATTGCTCTCCAACATTACCCATGGTGCAGTTGAAGCCGTACCAACATCGTGACACGTTGGTTCATTAACTAGCTGTGTCGGGTAGTGAAGGGTGTCACAACACAACATTGTTCTGACGTCTTCTTTGGGTCTTTCGGTAAAGTCACGTAGAACACATTTTTACAGGTAGGAACAACAGTTCCACACTGCCACCAGGGATTATTTGTCTGTCGTGCATAGCCCCTCCCAAACATGTACGCTCCCGGATTGGTTGAAGTGCGTCACGTGACCGCGAGCTTTCTGTCGTGCACGAATGCGCTGTCCAACCAAGTTCCTACCTGCCCACTCCGAAGGAACGTTTTTTTTTTGACAAAAAAACTACTGATAACTATTGATTGCGTTGCGATCGAAACGTCGTAGTTTTTTGTAAAAAAAAATTGTTCTACGTGACTTTACCGAAAGACCAAAAGAATATGAACTCCTGCAGTCACGAAAGCTTTAAGTGGGGGTCACAAAATGCCGATTTATTTCTAATAAACCCCAATGATCCGACTGAAATTAGGGATTTCGATCGGATCATTGGGGGGAACGTGCCACCCCCCCCGGCTCCGCCAATGATCCCTGGCCCAACTAGTTCCGCGCTCATTGCTCGGAGAGGTAACGGCATGCAGAGCGGCACAGGTGGCTTCGCTTCCAGGCAGCCTCTGTCCCTCTCCACGCGGCGAATTAAGGACAGGCAACACAAACTAATTCACGAACACCACGCGCACTTTCGCACACTTGAGTAAGTTTGCCCACGCAAAAATAAAACGCGTCGCCGAATCGCCACGGTTCGTGTTCAGGAGTTTCCTGGTTTGGGTTGTTTGGCGGCTTCCTTACCAAACACTCCGGTTTTGAAAGAAGCGTCGTCTTGGATCGATCTTTAAATGTCCACGACAGTGGAGTTATTCCGGCTTAAATCCCAATCGCCCTCACGAATATTCGAAAGTTTTCTATTTACCTAACGCGTAAAAGTAGGACGACCAGGATTGGACCGGACATCATATATTCAGCAATGGATGTTGACGGAAGCTGTCTCAGTAGAAAGATGCTGAGACGAACAGAGAGAAGTAGAGAGACCCGGCAAGGAGATGTCAGCGATAGGAACGGTCAAGGGGGTCCCAACAGCCCAAAAGGCCACAGCAGGATGAAGATCTCTGTGCGCGTCGTGTTGGCGATGGGAAATGTTGCATCGAACCTCGGTGCAGGTGTGCCCAAGATCAGTGCGGATTTCCAGGTATTGAACTCAGGTCGCCAGGTGCTCAGTGCAACGACGCCTCCACTCTGCCCCTTCTTTGCCTTAATATTTTATCACAAAGGTGATTGAACGAACAAAATCGGAGTGCCTGATTGACCCTACCAGGCCTGGCCTCAACGGTAATTGGTGTCCTGGGAGATCAAATGATTTAGTGCCGCCTGCTAGAGTACTCCACTGATAATAACCATCTGGCCATTTGTTATTCGTAATGTGACCCTCGCATTAACGTTTAAACTGGGTCACGGATAAGCAGCTCATGGGCCAACGACATCTGGGATCTTGGTGCAGATATTGCAAGGTGTGCCTAATTTTAACGAGCACCTTATTTAAAGTTCGCCTACTGTGCAAATTGTCGCGGTTGTGCTGATGTGCATCTCCCCGATAGGCCTTCAAGTTGAACCGCATGTCATCCGCCCCGGTGTCCGACGTTTCGCTGCACGTGCCGAGAGCTTCCAGTTCAGTGTGGGTCTTGGTCCTTGGCATAGTACTCCGGGGTCAATGCTCATTTTCCTCCGCTGATCGGGATTTTTCCAAATGTGCAGCTCCAAAGCTTTGGAACAACGCTTTGGCTTTGCTAACACGTCGATCGGAATCGTTAGACATATTTAAACTTGTCTTGAGAAGTCGCTTCTTTAAATTGTCCTTTAACCCCTAGCTCTGGCCGTTTTGCCCTGCAGGTTCTGTTTATTTCCCGGCTTTCCATACATGGTGGTGCATTGGGATCTACGGATTAAACGCGCCATTTTCACAAATATCAATTATTGTTTATGGAGAGGATTGTGAGTCTCGCTGCTGCGGAGATATCTACGGTGAGGTTGTGAGCATCTCAGAAGTTGAGGACAAATTATGAAGTAATGTGTACCCGTATATTTCTGACACCCCACGCAGTTTTGCGTCATGGATGGGCCACCCTGATTTTCCACCCCTGAAGGCCAGGGCCTACGGCGTTCATTGTTTGGATAGACAATGGTGTGTAATTTTTGATGCAAATTAACGTCGGTTTTTTTTAAATGAGAAAAAATCATTGCCGGGTGAAAATTGAGCCAAGTTTGTCTATCGAAATCAGTGTCACGCGTTTTCCAGAATGTCATGCCCACTCGCCGGTTACACTTCACATTTTTTTGGAAGATTTGCTGGTTTATCCCAGGATGTTTCTGTTGCGCGTCGTCGCTTTAAGATGTTCTCTGTTCATATTTTGTTTGTTGCGGTTGCACCCGACTCAAGGAGCCGCATGGCTCACAGAGCTATACCAAACAAATGCAACTTGAAAAATGAAAACTTGAAATCTCGCAGGGGATGATTGTTATCTCACCGCAGGCTCTTTGGGTAATTCAGTTGACGGCCTTAACGGGTTGGGATTTAACGAAGTCTCACCAGGG